GAGAGCTGTGCCTTCTGAAATAATGCATCTCCAGTGAAGCATTATTTATTAGCAAGTTTGATTTTTCAGTCTGCATGTTTGAGCCTTTCTGTCAGGAATTTCCTTTCTTACAGAAGGCAGCTCCCTTCCAATAAAACCATACCCTATCGCTTTATAGGTAAAAATACAAAGGAATAAAAATGTGTTCTGAATCTTTATGATGAATATGCATACTAGCTTCAGCAGGCTTACCATGCTTGCAGAACTAGGAAAAAGAAGTTGTGGCATTAGCCTTTGGATTAGCTTCCGAAGATTTTGCATGAATATGTTATTTTTTAATTGTTGCTAACATCAACATATTCCTCTCCTCTTTCTAACTACTGGAGTTTGGCTCTAAGCTTTGTGTGGTGCCAGTAGTTTCTAATACTAAAATAGACCTTTGGGCTTTATTACCTAGTTTTACAAACATATTCGATTTGCATACTGTTATTACAGGATGATACATACTGAATAAGAAATAAAACTACTTAATTTTTCCAACAAACATCAGTCCAGAGAGTTAACCTGTGATGGATGCTTCATTTAAGTTAATATCTTAGTTGACTTTGTCCTGAATCAGATTATGGAGTCTTTGCCAAAGAAAGCTATCATGGACAGACATCAAGCTGGCACAGAAGTGCTTCTAAACTACTTTGAGATTTGCCCTAGAGAGTAGCCTCAGATATTATTTATAAAGGGCCAGATCATTCAGCACAAGTAGTTACATAAAAAAAAAAATAATTAAGCCTAAAAAGCCACACAAAAATGAGCTACTCACTCACGTGTGTAAAGCAAAATTGATATGATACTCACTCATATTTTTACTTGTCCATAACCTATCAACATTTTCAAATCTCTGGCTTCTTACTTATGATCAAGTTTGTAACCCCAAGTCTAATCCTAAAAAGATGCTGAACTTTTTGAAAGGTCCTGAAGGAAGACAGCCTCCATCTGACTTGATGGATCAGGCCTTTTGAGTGACTGAACTATGAATATGACAGATCAGGTATACAATCCTGGTATCATAAAATATGAAGCTGAAATTATTCCCTGGTGCTTTCCTGTAGACCACATGTTTTTAAACCTTAAAAAGATTTATTTCCCATTTTTCATGCATAATCTGCCATATTCATTATTTGCAATATCCCATAAAGAAATTAAATAGGAATTAAAGTCTGGGAGCATCATATCCATCACTGAGGTACAAACTGATGCCAAATTCTAGAAGTCATTTAGCCTTTTATGTAAAGGCAGTGGCTGTTTTCACTTTGCTTCGCAAAGAATAAAGAAAACACAATACCCCAGAAGACTTTCAGATGTGTTTTTTCCTCTCCAAAGAAAAGGGTGGATGATAAAGCTACACACACCTTTTAATCTTCCACTTAGAGTTTTTACACATATATTCCTTGGCAAAAACCCCAGGGTCTTCTCTTTCCCCTCCCCTTCTCTCACCCCCTTTCCTGCCATCTCCCTTGCTATAACTCAGCTAACCCAACAGAACCAGTCAGTTTTAAATTTCAGTTGGGACCCCGGTGACCTGTTAATGAATCTACAGAGAGGAGAAAAACTCACAGTGTTGAGTTATGCCTGGTGTTGCTAGCTGACTTGGAGTCAGAAATGCTTGAAGCGTTAACGTAATTGCAAGAATGTGAAAAATGAAGCGTTGGGCTCCTGAGCAAAGCGAAAGGTCAAAGCAAGCCCTACACAAAACAAGTCTCTGGAAGATGGCCTCATTAGACCATTAAATCAGCTTCTCCTTTTTCTCCTTTGTAAGATGTTTAGAGTGTTTTATTTTTATTATTGCATACAGTTAACTCTTTCCAGGGCAGGGGGAAAGTTGATCAGACCTACTACATAATTACTAATCTTTAAAATAGTATTATACAGCATTGATTTGCATTTGTGGATCTGAACTGGGATGAAGTCAATAAATGCTTGGTGGATTACAGATCACTACTACTTTGGTTTGCCAGATGATCAATATGTTGTATAGCTTAGTTTTCTGTTGAACAAGTGAGGTGACATGCTAAGAACAACATAGACACTCACCACTAATAAAATTAGGATAATCTTTCAACATTTACTGCCTGAAGGCCCTTTACTTAACTCTTCCAATGCCAGCATGTTTCTAATAATACCAAACACAGACTAGATTAACCCTTTTGATGCCAAAGGGCAGACATGCACTGTAGTGGAGAGACTGTCCTCCATAAAGAGACAAAATGCCTACACCTTTTTTATTAGGCTCAAACTGTAAGAATTATGGATGGATTCTTCCAGGTAATAAATAGATCCATCTCATGCAGAGAAAGTCTGCAAAAAAGTCATCACTCACCCAAATCCTTTCCATCTCCTCCCTCCCCAAAATAAAATCAAAATAAAATAATAATAGTGATAAAAAATAAATCACAGGATGCACATCATACACTCAAGGCAAAAGCAGAGACCCCTAGAAAGAGTGCTTTCAAAAGCCAGAAGAGACTGATTCTAGGATGAATCAATCTCTGCTGCCACCAGGCATTAGTGGAGAAGACTGTAAGTTGCTAATGTAACCCAAGACTCTCTAATGAGCTCCCATTTCCAAGAAATCCTTTGGGGTAAGTGAAATACTTGAAGCAGCATTTGTGGAAGCTCTTGGCAAAACTGCAGGGAAACCAAGTTGACCCAGGTAAGTAACTGCACTGGAGTAGCTCAAGAGGACATCTGTCCTTCTTGGCATAGTCTGGGACCAGTTCACTGCCAGCACAGGAACTATAAGGTAAATTTCCACCTCCCACCCCCATGAAAGCCTAAGGAAAATTCAAGACAGACCTCACTCTCTTTTCTCTTTCCCAGGACTGAGAGGGAAAGAGCAATCCAGAGCCATCTCCAGTGGGAATTCTGCTGGTGCTGTAGAATAATCTTTCAGCTGCCAGCAGCTGAATGAAACCGTGATTTGCCACTGGACGTCGGCTTCCCTTTAGAAGGCCCAGATGAGCACAAAGGGAAACATACCAGCAATGTTTTACCCTGCTAGACTGGACTGCACTAGTGACTGATTTGGCCCCACAGAGGCTGTCCCACTTCTGCAGAAATGAGTAACAGGTTTGTTGAATTCATATATATTGGCAAAGTAATCATCAACTGCTTTTTCTAATACTTAGCAATATTTCCCAAGCACACAGAGTTACATGACAAGAGATCAGAGACTATGAAGTGCAAAATCCCTGGATATGGATACAAGGGACTTCTTCATATCAAGCATGGCTCAATGAAGGAACTTTTCTAGTTTCTAAGGGGTTCCTGGGGCAGAGTGGTGATACAGGTCTGAGGAAACTTCCTCCCTAGGGGTGGAATGAAGATGGCAGACCGATCAAAGGAATCATTTTTAAGCAGGCAAATCATCTGCTACACCATGCACTTCAGCTACATACACACGCAAACATTTGATAAACTGTAAAGCCTGTGGCCAGCCCATAGACAGAAAACACCAATATGCTGTTTAGCAGTCAAGCTCTCCCTACCATTAGCTGTTGAAGCTGTAACAGTTCATGCTCGGTCTTGTACAGCTCCAGTTTAATTCCATAGCAAAAAATCCTTGTGACTCATTTTGGAGTTGGATCACACCCTATGCCATAGCTGCTTTCTATCAACAATAAGATTACAAATGTATAAACAATTCTTACAAATAGGAGACAAAACCAAACCACTCTACCAGAAACAAACTTTGCAAGTTCCTAGAATCACAAGGGGTACAAGACCAGATCATCAGGCAGATGAGGGGAACTAGCTCTGTGCCAAGCAATGAGCCATGTGAGAGACATGAAATCACATATCTGTTCTGCTGTCTGAGCATGGCAAATATCATGGAGGGAAGCAGTCTGCAGTGTGAGAATAGTCAAAGCAACTCTAGCCCTGAAGGCTTTTCCCTTCTACAGTTTTGGGATCCTGCAGGGCTACTTGGATGTCAGCCCTGTCAATTGGCTCTGCTGGGCATGTGGGGAAAAAGACAGGCAAAATACTGACGATGTAGGAGAAACATCTCACGGTCAGGCCATATCATAAGCCCTTATAAAGTCACTGGCAGAAGCTTACCATGTTTACAAAGAAAAACAAGAATGGAGTCCACCTTAAACTCTGGACTAAAAGAAATCAGAAAAAAAAAAGAAAAAAATCAACTCTTGAGTCAAGATCCAAGAGGGACAGCAGGCCATCTTTACCCAACGATTAGCACTGGAGGCTTGACTCTTGCACCTTCTGGAGTCACTTATTCTTCTAATGAGCACATGTAAAACACTATCATAACAGAATGACAGCCTTTGACACTCACTCAGCATGGATGCAGATGACCACACATAAGGTGCAGTTGGAAATAAAGTAAAAACCCCTGAAATAATAATCAAACCTCCTGAACCTTGAGGAAGTTTCACTGTATACAGATACAGAAGAGGTTTAGCAGTTCAGCTGTATCTCTATTTACCATTCAGAATTCAGATTTTCAGAGGCAGAAACAAATCTGTACAAGGAAACATTTCAAGAAACATTTTTTTGTCTAATTCAGGGTTTGCTTATACTTTATATAATTTAGCAGCTTCATAACTTCACGTAGAAGTCACTTTCTCAGATAAAACTACAGGTTAAACTCTCCATCTTTAACCCAACTCAAACAACTGCACTGCAGCTGGAGAGTATGCCTGTCATTATATTTACTTACACCACACAAAAATAAACTGTAGATAACCAAATTTGTAAAGGAATTGGCAGAACTAATCAATTGTTATTACAAAGCTTGTTTGAAGATTAGATATTTCGCTTTGAAATAATAATAAAATGCAGCTAAGTGGGTTAGGAAAAGGAAATACCGTCTCCCTAACTTACAGCTGATTGTACTGCAAGTCTGCCACTCCATGTTTACTCAAAGGCAGATGTACTGATATAATGAAAAAAGCTGGAGTTATTTTAGTCATGCCTACTTTGTGGAGGGAAAAAGTTTGACCTTTTACCTTGCTCGCTGCTGTTGTCTCCACTCTGGGAAGCGTGGCCCCCGCTGGAGGGCCCTGGTGTGCCTGCCGAGTGCGTTGAGGTTGCATCATCGTGGTCTCTCCAAGATGAAGGATTCTGGTGTCAGAGTGCCAAGGAATTTTTTCCACGGTTCCCATTCCAATAGCAAATGAAGAACAGAAAGCAAACCGGGAGAAGAGGGGAGGAAGGGGAGGAAAGTATACACATTAGCATTTGTGAAATGTGCCAAACACCTATACTGTTTGCACAGTGTAATAATTCTTCAGCAAAGGCAAGCAGAGGAGATACAAAGATTTACTTGTTAAAACACAGGACAGATTTTTTTTTCTTTTTTAAACTTTCCACAGAGTTATCTGGATTTAATTGTTTGAATAGTACTGGAAAACAATATTTCAGGACAGACAAGAGAACCATAAGCTTAGTTTCTTAAGGAGCTCTACAGGGTAGTGGCGGGGCAGAGGACAGAAGGGCATCTACCTACATAGTTTATGATATTCAGTGTTCTCATTAGGATCAGGATAGTTGGTATGCAAACTATCCCCCCACACTTTGTTTTTCCAGACTGACTACAGCTGCGAGGGGAGAAGAGGAGAGAAATTTTGTCAAGAAGTACAGGAGAATACACATGGGAAAGGAGTGTGTCCTCACTCCCTAACCTCTCTGTCACCCATTTAAATGCTGGAAAAATTTCCAGCAAAGTCAATGTTGTGAGGGGGAAAAGCAAGCTTTCTCTGAAAGACATTGTATACCAAGAAAGATGCTTCTTCACCCCCAGCCACCACCTTGGTATAACACATTTCAAGAGACTTTCTAGATTTATCACTCTAACAGTTCACTTACAAGAATTGTCAAGAACAACCACCAGGTGATTATATAAAACAACATGTATAGTGATTTTTATGTAATTCTTGCTACATTACTATGCATGAAACACTACAAAAGGGAATGCAGAAGACGGACTTACAAAGTTTGCAAAATTTGGCTAAGAGCTGAGCGACTGTACTTAAGTCATATACTTCATGAATACTTTCTAATTTATTGGGTATTGGCTTTCCTGGAGAGAGGAGCTGCTATTTAAAAGGATAAGTGAGGAAAACTTAATGTTACAGTTTAGTGCTACTTTGTGAGTGTATTCTCCTCCTGTCCTCCTCCCCTTTCCTGATCATTCCCAATACCCTGCTGTTGCTTAAAGGAAAACAGGAATTCTACTGTACAGGAAGAGCTTTATCAGCACCACATGAAGGCAGGCAAGAGATGGAATTTCCTCTGGCAGAAAAGGAGAGCAAGAACACATGAAACAGATCAGAGTAGCGGTTGGACCTGCATTACTTGTCACCTGGATGTGACAGCTTAAATCAAGCACATTATAATAATTCAACAACAAAACAAACAAACCTCCCCTCAAAAAAAAAATGTTCTTAGATTGCTTAGGTTTGACTGTGGTTTAAATCTTCATTCTAAAATAACATTAGATTATTAAAGCATGAGGAGAAGCTGAAAGCAGCAAGTAACAAGTTGGATAAATTCTTTGAGGAGGACTGACTCTGACCTCATCTACATCAATGTGTAGTAGGAATAAGTTCAACATAGTCAACTGATTTACCCACTGTAAAATACAGTGTAAGTGTGATTGGGACCAAGTCCCAAAATCTATATTGAAACATCTCAAAGTAATCTTCTAGCACTGATTAGTACCACATGCTGTATAGCAACACAGAACAGAACTGCCAAGTAACGGCTTGCTACGGTACCCAGCAACATAAATCTGACAGGCCTGACCTGGATCGCAGCAGAGACAAAGGAAAGAGCCCACGACTTCAAAAGGTTCCCAATAAAGTCTCAGGTGACCAAAGGGTAAGAAGGATCCAAATCCCCTTCACCTTACAAAGACAGACACACACATACACCCACATATGTGGTTCCATGACAGGAAGACATGAGTAAGATCAGAAGGCAGGTCAGGATCTGAAATTTGCCTAACCTGTCAGCACAGCGCGCAGCACAACAGCGCTTACGGCACGAAATCACCAGCCCCTCCAAAACCTAGAAAACTGATCGACTTCTCCTCACACAGAACTACAACAGGAAAAAACTGCCACCAAACAGTAGTATTTAATATTCATTGAGGTTATTGTGTTAATTTTCCGTAATACTGTTATTCCCCTGTTTCATTAAAAAACAAACAAACAAACAAAACAAAACAAGAAAAACAAAACCCCCAAATTTTACCATAATTTTTCAGAGTCAGGTGGAGAGACACACAAAAAGAAAGATGAGAAGTCTTGAAAGCTGAAGCAGCCCAGGTGTTATTAAAAAGAACAAAAATGTTGAAAATAACGTTAGCAAAAAGTTCAGATAGAAATAAAAGGCGAAAACTGTGCAAGATTCTTTACAGCCTGGATTAAAACACAGTTGTGCCTATGAGCTTCTCTTTTTATCTCTGACTTAGGAAGCCACTCAAATAGCTTCAAGCTGAAGGCAAACAGCAGACAGGAGCTCTTCAGCCCTCTGCAGCCTCTTAGCGTCAGCTGTTTGCCGGATGGTAATCAGATAAAGAGCTAGAAGAAATACATGAAAAAGAAAAGAAACAATAGCATAGCATGAGTTTAGCCCTCCAACAACATCGTGCTGGAACCTTCTTTTAGAAAATGTAGTAATTGCAACATGTTCACCTAGGCTAAACTTTTCAGGGAACACAGTGAGTTATGCTAATTTTGTGTACTGCGGGCTCTCTTGCGCTGGCTGCTGTTGGAGCTCCTATCGCATGTATGAAAGTTACCATAATTAATTGGTAACAGCTCAGCTATGTTTTAAGGAGAATGTCATCCAAAACCTATCATACAATATTTCAAAATCCAGACCAGCCTTTCTGTTTCAAAGCTGTAAAAATTTGGAAAGGACCACTGAATGAGACTTCCCACAGCTGAAAGCACTTGCTGTCTCTACCAGGCTGAGCTGTTCTTGACCTCAGTTTGTAGATCCGGTTTGAGAAAGACAAACTCTATTGATTGAGAGTTCAATGTATTTCTTGTGACACAGTTTTCTTGAGGAAGCTATTTGGCAGAGTTTTGTTGGAGGACAGAAAATATAGGATAAGGTATTTACTAAATGCAACAGCAGAATGTTGAAGGAATTTGAAGGGGAGAGAAACATCAAGACTTTAATATTATAAAAAATGACAAATAATTTTAGAGGTGGAGTTTACAGACTCATAAAAAGGCAGCATTCTTTTGGTTTGGACTAAGATCATTGCACAAGTCAGTGAACTGATTGTTTTCTCCCCTAGAACATTTCCAACCTCACATCTCCCAGAAAAAATTCTTGGCTAAATGGCTAATCATAAGTATTTATTTTCTGCACATCCTCACAATAAATAAGTAAATAAATAAATAAATAAATAAATAACCAAATGGCACCACTGAAGTGTACTTCACTGGAAAACTTCATCAGTATAGTTGAGGTACCTGAAGAGATCCTAGTCTAAAGCCCACTAATATTAGTAGCAATTTTTTTCTGTTAGTTTTAATGAAATTTGTATTGAGTTACCATGCTGAAAAAAAATTTTAGAAAGAAAGAAAAGAAGAAACCAAACATATAGCTTTAGATAAATTACACAAACTGCTAGCATGGTTTCTCCTTTCTTCTTGCAAGTTTAGTAATATACTTTGCAGAAACACGTTGAAGAGTGTGGGTGATATCTGCCAAAATATAATTGTCTATTTTGTGTACGTGTGCATACTATAAAGATTTCACACGTGTATGACCTAAACTATGCCAGACACCATAGAAAGTGAGCAGCACACATGTATGTATTCCCAGTAGTTTTAATAATTGGGAGCCAAATATGGTAGTCCTCTTGCTCTTACCTAATTGTGTTAAAGAGCAGTGCTACTAGGAGAAAAGCAGTGAATACTGAGTAGAGCACAATAGAAGGAGATGGAAAATAGATACAAGAAGCTGTGTCTCCAGGGGCAGTATTTTCTATTTGCTGGGCTACAGACTCACAGCTGATAATGCAAGTTGTAATTAATATAAAAGCAGGAGACAATATGGGGAAAGCTTGTACTAGCAGGGCCACAGGAGATCACTCCACCGCTATCCACTGTTTCTCATTTACACACATGGCCTTCCCTAGAAAACACAATTTTACCAGTGTTTTTTCCCTTGAAAGTTAAAAAAAACTAACTGATTTAGCACCACCATTGAATTTTGCAAAATCTAGAAAAGAGCAACAGAAAGGACAAAAGGCATACAAAGCAAATCTGACACATTTCTCTTTTGTTGATGCTGAAAATCTGCTAGAAACCATAAGAGTTTTTAACTACTACAGGATTTCTTGAACAGAGATGTTGTAACAGAGAAATTTGATACAGGATAATCTTCTGACAAATTGCAATTCTTACTTTGTATGTCCAAAATATCTGCTGGGCAAAGTGTGGCTAGCTTTTTGTCAGTGTATGTAGCCCTGCTAGGGCTGATTCTGATCTCATACTACTTTTTATGGTGATATTAAAGACTCAATTCTCCATAAGGAATCTGATTTTTATTTATATCTGGAAAGTAAAATCAATCAGGCCAGCTGATACCCATGTGAGAAAGCAGAGCAGGATTTGACTCGCATATTTTAAGTGAAGTTTCAAGCATACAAGTCCGACAGGATCAGGCCCTACATAATTTTATCAGATGAAACTGACAAAATCATTAATCTTAAAAGAACAAACACAACTTGTTTTCATAAAAATAACTACAATGGCTATAAGGCTTATTGTTTCTAAACATCAAAGGTCTAGTAAATTAATTTTACAAGCACAAAACTGAACAGAACTACTTGATACAGATGGCATTATGCCCCCAAACACAATCCAAACCCTGCTCACCTTGTTCTTACAAGCAACACGTGTAAACACAGTGGAATGACTGATATGACTGATCCCCCAAAGATCTGCAGCTAGGTCCAGCCATATATGAGGACATGACAGACTATGCAGGACATGGAAATTTATCACATGCATGCACGTGTGTTTCTGTGTGTGTATCTGTGTCTGTGTTTTGTGTGTGCAAAGTTCAGGAAGGTGTCTTAGAGATCGTGTCAAGTG